TTTATATTTTGTCTGTGCTTTGAAGTTTCTTTAGCGTTTGGATTGGTTTTGCGGGTTAGGGTTGCTAGCCGTGTGCCCAACCTCCCCTCTTTATCCGGTCTCATTGAACTAGTTTACCAGGAGAGGGTGAAACCTCCTGCAAGCGCCAGGTGAGAATATTTGATAGGCATTGCCACAATACCGATATGTTTCGACTAATTGGATAGCGGACCATGTGAGCTTGATCACTGATGAAGCTTGTTATCTGCTAGATACAGTAGGAACGGTAAAAGCTCTTAGACTAAATACTTTATCATCTGTATCTTCCTAGCGGTTACTATAGAGGGACTTTTGAGCCCGGACAAGTTTCAGAAGAATCTGACAACATCATTGATAATTATCTGTACCATGTGAAATTCATTGTAGTAAAACTGATCTTTATAATCAAAAACACTACGTGTAATGATCAGTTTTAACGTGATCAAATTTTGCAATTAATTTCCTTTTTCGCTTTTATAACGTTTTATCATCTTTTGTGATATTTTTCATTGAAAACTTCACAGTCTAATACTTTTAGGCTTGTCAATTCGTTATCATACTTATCGCACAATACTTCTACTCAGTTTTAGTGTTCACGTCTTCGTTTCCGTTCCAGATTATCCTTTCTGTTTTGAAACACTTCTCCGAAATACACTTTCATTATTTGACTGATTTCTGCTAATTTCCGTTGAATGTACTTACGGTTCCACGGATTTCGGAGATAAGATCGGTCAGATGAAAGTTTTTATCACGGTTACATCTGTGTTCAAAAAACAGAGCAGTTTGTGGCAGTCAATACTCAGGGTATTCTATGCATCTATTTGATCATTTATATGTGTATGTGACAGAAACTCAAAGAGTCAACAGAGGACAACTAATGTCAAATTATATAATCCTAAGTAGTGCTTGTATTTGGCTAATCAAGTTTGCAATGTACCATCATGCTAAGCAACTTAACATCTTAACACACTACAATCGACGTTAGATGTTTGGCGGCAGTCGTCAGGAAACTATGGTTAATTGAAATCTAGTGCATGACGATACTCATCGGCAGTTCATACTTGCAAATCTGAGGATACCGATGCTACTTGAAGTGCTCAAGTCCATATCAGAAAAGTGCTACAGTTACCAAAGTTAACACTTTTTCAATAGTGGAATCTTCGTTAATGATCTATTCAAGATAATCCATTTACTCCGGCTCCTCCGCCTTAAAAATGTGTCACTAGGCCATTTCATTATTTGATTCACTGAACCACTTATTCATATAGATATTGGCCACTGGAAACAATAGGTTTCTTTAAAAAAAGAGCATTTATAACTTATAAAACAAGCTAACCTGTACTGACGAATATAAAGATTAAGTAAATAATAATGTGATAGATCATTGTATACTTCCTATTCACGTAAAGGATTACCCTGTAGGAGTATACTATATTCATTGAAAGAGTTTTGAACCACTTGAATCAATAACTTCCTGACTCGATTTAATTAATCAACCGTCCATATTATGACAAATTTACCACACAACTCTAGTGGACAATGACCTTGCAGTTGACGTAGTAAAACAACTACTGTCGAAGTAGTTATTTGTGACAATGTTAAAGCAAAACTGTTATCTTTCCCTTGAGAATACCTTACACTTCGTTCTGTCACAACAGCACGAAGGATGGAGTCTTTTTGTCAAGATGGTGGTTATTCAGGTAATTTATGTCTCATATTCTCCATTTGATGTCTATAATACTACTATTGGGAAACGATCTATTAGTTGCTTTGGAAGAAAGAACCGACAGTCTATCCAATAAGATTATCCTAAACATATAAGTAGGAATATTTGATTGGTGAATCTAGAGGATGATGATCTAAAATATTACTCACTTTCACATCCCTACTCGGTGTTACTTTTTATTAGTTTACTTTAGTTGGTGCGTAAACCCTCTTGCCTTATTGACATGAATGATAGCGATCTGCTCAGACATGACTGACTGGCTGGCTAAATCAACTTAGAACCTCATACACAAATTGATCGGTTCAAGTTGCCACACTCCACAATAGTATACAAATAACAGGCGGATAGGAAAGGAGTGTTATTAAATTAGATAAAGTAGCGTGAGAGAATGAACAATCTGAAAAAAAGGTTAATTGGAATATCCAAGCTTTGGAAGATGTTAAGGAGTGAATACTGAATTTCATAAAACTATAAAGATTATCATACAAAAATGCTGTCTTTACTCTGACCTTGAACAGATACTCTGCACCTGTGCTTTCACTTTATTCCCTTCATTTTATTTCTTTGTTTATATATGTTTGATTTATTTATGTTTACCAGATATCAAGGCTTACTTTTCAATGCATTTTATAAAACGTTTTAGATATCTGAAAGGTAACCTGTCTGGGAGATTCTGCCAGTTCACTTATATATTTACGAATGTAGAGCTATGACAATGAGTAGTCCAAAAGATAATTGTCATCACTGTAACGTCCTTCTACACTTGAGGAAGAAGTAATTGTATTTGGGGTTTGTGGGTATTTAGAGATATTTTAAGTTGGTTTTCATCATGGATAGACATCAGTTGGAGGAATATTGGAAACCTAGAAGGACTGGATAGCTTCTTCGTCCTAGTATGGGACTCCTCATCACTGTGCACCCATGACCCCACCTCACTAGGGATCGAACCCGAGATTTTCAGGTTCCGTGGCCAGCACGTTACCATCGAACCACTGGGTCGCAATTCAGTGGTATATACTTCCAATTTCTGTCAGTTCACGATTTAGCGCGACCATCACCCAATGTCGTTGTCGAGTATCTGTCTTCATAAGTCAGTCCACAATGAAAACCAACTTAAAATATCTCTAAATCCCCAAATTCAATTGAACTACTGGTCACTGGTGTCTAGCTTCGACAGGGGATTCCCGAAGTTCCAGTGAGAAGTTGTGACCAATGGGCAAACCTGGTGGTCGTGAGGGCAGATATTCAATGATGACATCGGATATAAGTCGCGCTATGTCGTGAATGGACAGAAGTTGGAAATATATACAACTGGATTCCGGCCCACTGGTTCAGTGACAACGTGCTGGCAATGGAACCTGAAAATCACGGGTTCGATTCCTGGTGGGGTGGGGTTGTGGGTACACTCCACTGAACAGTCCTATACTAGGACGAAACAGCTTTCCACTGCTCCTAGGTGGGTTTCCAATGTTTCTCCAACTGATATCAGTCCATGATGAAAACCAACTTAAAGAAATAATTGGATACTGATCTGCAAGTCCTCATTTATTGGCATTTTATTGGTTCACTGGCTTTCCAGTATGCTGTGGACTACTCATTGCAACACATGAACATTTTTCATGAGAATAATGCTTATATCATGGCAAGACAGGATAAGAAATGCAACGAAAATATGCCAAGTAATAAGATTCGGAAGAATGAGAAGGCGGAGATTATCCTAAGCATGTCGATTTATTAGCGCTACACATTTCAAACAGGCTGATCACACAAAGACCTACTGCAGAACATAAAAGCTGAGAAAGAATAGTCAAGTCATTTGAATCCAGTAGACTAATTTTGAAGAAAAGACGACGTACTCTGTGGTCAAGGTCATCTTAGTGAAGAAGGCAATGCCCATGATTCAACACAAACCTTAACAGCATCCCATTGTGTCTTTCAACTTACATTTATGTGTGCAAACATACAAAGAGAGGAGTATTCTTGACGTACAGTTAAGAATGGTTGAGCATGTTCCTGGGTGGCTTCAGGAACAAATGACCTGTAATAGTCTGGTAAGTGTAGGCAACAAGCGTTCTCATCTATCGCAAAACACTGGTCATAAGATTGACATGATAACAGCTTTTAGTGTACTATAAAGACATGGTCAAGGTCTACTACCTAGACTTATCACAGCACTTTCTATCCATAAATTCAGACCGCCTTTATGTGTTCTAAAGTAATTTGTACTTACACTCTCGCGTTTGAAGCGACCACTCCAAAGTCCGAATCCCGGTGGGAACATCACTCACTGGGAGGCAGGTGCATCCAGCTGACAAGCCCCAAATAGGACGAAATGAGCATCCTGGATTCCACTGATAGCCACTACCCATCATTACTACCTTGTTAGTATTGAGTTCAACTCTTCACAGTGTTAGTGATGACCTGATTTCTTTTCTTGTAATTTTTCTTAATCATAATTCCATTGGTGTGATTAATCTTTCTCAACTTCCATGGAAATTATTCAACAAGTTCATGGGCTATCAGACTGACAGAAATACATAGGGCAAGCTTCATATGTTTCAGATTGTCGCCATCTTCACATTACACTGTTGAGGTGATAAGATTTTGAAATTTTTTGGAAGATAATATGTGAATGTGCCGGTTTCACTGTTGTTCGATCATGAATTAAATCGCCTAACGTTTCCATTTACTAGTTTGTCCTTTCTCTTGTAAACTGGGACCAAGTCACCTAATTTTTCAGCGACAACTGGTATTAACTGTGAGTGACTACATAGACTAGTAACATAGGTTAATATTACCACGGTGACTGTACACTATGGAAATATGGAATCAATTTCCTTCTCCGTAGAGATCAAGTCTGAGTTTCATAGGAAAATGTAAAACTGTTTATTATGATTGACAGTGACCATATGAATGTGGCTGCATGTTAGGTAACATGATTCAGAATAAATTTAACTCCCAAACACGAATCTACTTTAATCTTGCTATAAGAATAGGTAGTTTCACTTGTTGGTTCATTTCCTCTTTATTATTTAAACCGAAATACTGCTACAAAGTATACCATTTTTTCCATGTTATTCAGTCAATTAGCCAAGCAGTCAGTAAGTTAGTACGTCATCTAATCATTCCAGCTAAACTTCATACAAGCGGGTATCTGTACATTAAATGTAAATGCCAACCTTGATAATTTTGAAATTCCGCAAAATTACGATAAATGTTTAAAACAACCAGTAGAGACAATAAAATAGTTACATACCTTAACTTTGATTGTATTCTAAGGAGCTGCAATGATTAAAACTATCGATTGATTGTACATAAATCAAAGCTTATTATATTCAAATACTACAAACTGAGTAAATATTATTGTACTTAGTACAAAGAAAATCTGTTCAACACAAGGAAATGAAGTGACAGTAAGTATTTCGCATTGATTATAAACATTAGTTTTTGTTCTGTTTACTTTGATGACGATCATTGCTGTGTATGATTCAGTTGTTTCATTTTAATATTGTAAACAGAATACGATGTATCGACAAATATTTGATCGTTTATATATACTGTTCAAAATAGTGCTATGTTTGTTAATGTTTAAGCACAATCTTTAAGTGTATGTCTGATTCATCTCATCTGATTAATTTCTGATTTCAAGGTTCAAAAAGCTGACATATTCAGAGATAGATTTCAGTCTCCAGTTACTAGAAAGCAGACAATATCAAGTTATGCAGCCCTCAGGTGTTTCAATAAACCCTTTCGAATTAAAACGTGTTTCGATTATCGGCGGAATTTTTTGAAGTCGTTAATGTTAGCTGGCTTGCATTGGTGGAAAAGAAGTTTAGCTTGAGCTTTTCTCGCGTTTGTCTACCCCAGATGTATTTGATATTTTATTTACAGATACTTGAAACCTATACCAATTTGAGTGACTTTTGCAGGACAAAATTATGACTAAAGATGATAATAGTTATTGCACAGTAATCGGTCAGTATACTTTGTTCACTCACACAGGTTATTGGTAGTTTTTATACCAGCCTAAGCAAACAAAACGCGAATCCCAGATAAGTATGACCAGTTGTATTATTCTATACATATTGAAACGCATTTTTTGTAGTTCAGTTCAAAAGCTTTCAAGTGACTCCTGAATTATGTCTGTTTCATTTATTGTTTTAAATTAAATGCATGTTGAGTGAAATCAGTTATTGTGTATGAAATTACGTCTGAAATTTCCTCCTTGCTGTACAGGGTCGAATTTCTCGACCTCTTTTGGCAGATCGGGTCCTATGTGGGTGCATCGATGCTGCCAGATATTCATGATGTTATGTCGACCTTGAAGAGTAGCAGAGGAACCCAGGACGCGCTTTCATCCTGCTTGGGACTCATTAGATGGATGTACCTCCACCCCAGTGCTGAGTGATGTTGTTCCCACTGCGGATCGAGCCCAGTATCCTTCACTTCAAACGCCACAGCGCTGTCCATAATAGCTACCTCTTGTGCAACGCATATCAGTTATTGAAATGATACTTGAAATTTTCCGTTTCTGTAGAGGGCAGAACTGCTTGACCTAGGATGAAACGTGCGTTTCGGATTCCTCTGCTACTCAACAAGTTCAATGTAACATTGTATATGAAATCAGTTACTTTATTTTAATGAATTGCAATACGTCACTTACAGGTAATTCAGTTGTTTTTATAGACGGTTCACATTGTGTAACTTCAAGGGCAATAAGCATCAGTCTTTGTGTTTTGTAGTACGAGGCTAGGAGGTGCAAATTATGCGACCAATCTGATTGATGAATTGTGCATGGAGATGGAGGAAGTATGTGTGGAATTATCAACGTCCAAGGAATGTGTCAAACGTAAAACAGAAAAATTTCATAAAAAACTACTAGGTGGAGACATAACATAGGTGACCAAAATGAAAAATTGTTAATATTTGTGGTTGTGATACCAAGTGGTGTGAGTTCAAACTACTCATGGAATAGCAATTTGCGGTTACAGAAATGTTCGGCTTGTGATTGTTAACGAGCACAAAACCTAATTGAAGCATAATCTTCTTGGTTATTCATGATGTTATATTGATCCCGGTGACTAGCAAAGGAATCCAGGATGCACGTTTCGTCCTACTTGGGGCTCGTTAGCCTGATGTACCTGACTCCAGTGTGATATTGCTCCCACTGGGACTCGAACCTGAAACTGATCGGTTCAAGAGCCAGAGCGTTATCCATCAGACAACCGAACCACGATATCCACTGCTTGTACGGCGGTCATAGTTTTTAATTTCTCAGTGGATAATGCAATTAACAACATTAATACACCCAGCTGATGAGTTCTAAATGGGACGAAACGCGTATCCTGGATTCCACTGCTAGCCATTATCGTCATAAATATACAATGTCTCAAGGTTCTTATAAAAGGTTATGGTTTCAGAAGCAAACTTTTGTAAAGTTTTTTATTGAAGGAATTGTCTCAAATCTTAATTCAGTTTAATCTAATTTAATAAAAATAATCACCTTATCCTAAACAATATGTATGACATTGTGGAATTCTCAACATGTAATTTTTCAACAAATTCACTCCCAGAACAATACTTTCAGAAGAAACGGTTATTGCATTTGAATGGTCTTAATAATAACAGTATTCAAGGCAATGGTGTGAAACAGACAGTTGCTTCTGCATGGGTTTCGGGTCCTTAATGAAGAATCAACAGAAATGAAAGCGTAATTTTGGTCATGAAGTTTCATTCAGACGATACAGAAATGTTTGTAAACCGAAAAGTCCACTTCTATACAAAGTAAAAATTTCTCTATGCTTTGTTGTTGACCCTAGAAAATAGTCTAAAAATGTGCTAGATTACAAGATGCATTCAAAGGACATATTTATATATTGAAAAAAAATAGAAAGAAACGAATTTGGTGAAAAATGTTCAGTGGATAATTTTGGTAGCGCAAGGTTCAAGTAGGTCGCTGTAAGTGACTGGTCGGTGTAGCGTTTACCATGAAACTTATACATCCTAAATTATATCTTTGGAGGGGATTTCGGTTTGATAAAAAAAGTTTCATATTATGACGCAACATATCATCATGTATATACTTAACTTCTTTGTGGAGTCAGCAGTTATAATCTCTTAGAGTTTGATCATAAGAAATCCCTAGACTGAACAACATAGCTTACAGAACATTGAATTATTATAACTTTCATCTTGAAATGGACATTTTTTCTACTACTACATATAGATATTGTACTCATAAGTTATTCATGATACTTTGAGATGAAAAGTATTCTTAATATTTTTGATGGTAAAGTTTTGTAAATTAATGCTTTATATTAGATCAGTTTTAATTATCTTGTTATTTGTATAATCTTAGCACTATACATTTCTAGGCAACGGTGATTTAATATTATGACTATTTGAATTAGACATCTCTTCCGCAAATAAATGGTTACCATTATATTGGTATTTTCTCTACTTCACTTAATGTCTATTGTGTTTTTATACATAAACTGCTAGGCTACCCTTTCACTGCTTCGTTTACCTTTGCTACTGTTTTTAATATAATATTATATTCATCAATTCTAAGAGCGCTGAAAACATATTTATACAAGTATGATGTAGCAACTAGTATATATTTAAAGTGTGACATCTCCTTTTCTTTTGACTTAACGAGAAGAATTAAATGGATATAGATTAGAGATAAATTCTTTTTAATGAATATCAGGAACACATTAATAACCGATTACCTTTCTGATTAGGAAAGAAAGGATGAATATTGCCCTATATCGCAAAGTGAAAGAAGTAGGAAAATATGGACTGCTGAATTCCTACCCAATGGTTCCATCCCCGCCAAGGTCATCGTTGCACACTGCTGGGAAACCTCATTGTAGGATGAAAAGAATGTCCACTACTTCTAGGTTTTCAACGTTTCTCCATCTGATCTCAGTTCATAATGAATAAAAACTTGAAGAAACAAAGGTTTGATATGGAATTTAGAAACTGTTGGGCTAGTTCGTGAATTTGAAGGAGGGTTCCACTTGCGGTTATGAAATTTATTTTTAATGAATGTCTGTGAGGTTGAGTAAATAAAAAGGTCTTGAGGTAACTAACCATGGGTTCCTGGGTACAAACTTGCTACTTGAAAAACATACCTAGAACTGCAAAGAATATATTGTCTTTCACAGAGCTTCCAGTTCGTGATAAATGATACTCAATCTGAGCCGTTACTACACAACAGTTTGTGTAAATGGTACCTCATATACCTAGAGTTGATCATGATTTGTGCTTAGCTGATATTGTAAACATAGACACTGTATCAAATAATTACTAGTTTATAGTCCACGTTTATTTTCACGCAAAAAAACAGATGAAAACAGTAGTAACAGTAGATTGATAGTAACTAATGGCTATTAGCATATTTTACCAATAAATCACTGGTCATAACAATAGGTAGGTATTCAATGTTAGCACCTGCAAAATCTGAGTTCATCTAGAGATTTCTGAAAGAAAACAGTCACCTTTAGAAGCTTAAATACATGCTTAGGAAAAAAAGTCGGTAGAAACAATATGATGCGTCAATTTTTCAAAGAAACTTACATTTCTACTTCTTACTTTTAACCCTTCCAAGGTGAGTTGTAAAGTAAATAGTAGGAGATAAACAATACTGAATAAAACTATCCTAGCAATTAAAGGACGCCCTATATGCCAAACGAATTTTTAAATCAAGTTACTTGGTTAAGTAATGGTAAGTTAATCAGATCTGTCGAAATAGTTATTTCAAGTTGTTATTCATCGTAGACTGACATCAGTTGGAGGAACAAAGGAAACCTGGGAGCACTGGACAGCTGTTTCGTCCTAGTATGGGACTCCTCAGCAGTGCGCACCCACGACCCCACTAGCAGGGATCGAACCCGCGACCTTCAGGTTCCCAGTGGCTCAATGGTAACGCGCTGGCCGCGGAACCTGAAGGTCGCGGGTTCGATCCCTGCTAGTGGGGTCGTGGGTGCGCACTGCTGAGGAGTCCCATACTAGGACGAAACAGCTGTCCAGTGCTCCCGGGTCTCCTTTGTTCCTCCAACTGATGTCAGTCTACGATGAATAACAGCTTGAAATAAATTCCAAATCTCCACAACTCCCTCGAAATAGTTATTGTTCAAAAAATGAAATAAAACATGATTGCTACTGATTTCACCTTTTTTAAAAGTGCAAACGTCTCTGCTTTTTTTACTTTCATCCACCTTTCTGAACTTTTCAGCGATTGATTGTGGAGCGGATTCACATTTTATTATTATGCTATTAAATGAATGGTCTTAGGCTCTCGCTTAACCTCTTCATTTTCATTTTCAAATTTTTAAAATGCACTATGATAATAACTTGACTATGCAAAAGTTGGATAACTTTACTCGCAACTTATAGTTTCGTTCACTTGGGCTATCGCATTTGTGTATTTTCGCTGTCAACTATTTTCATCAACCAGCTTTCTTCCTTTAAGATACATTTATTATTTTTTCCTATATACATCCAGTAATGATTTCGTCCCTACTCCATTGAAAAGAAGTATTGTCGTTAGATTCTGTTAAGCTTCTTGTTCTTACGCATCGAGAACCAATATTATACCTCTGTTTTGGATAACTTAATTTCAAGCTAGTCAATTTTATTCATTTCCTTAGGTAAACATACACCTTAAATACTTTTGAGGTACAAAAATTGTGTTGTATGAGATAAATCGTTTTAGTTTAAAGTAATCTTCATCAAGGAATGACGTCATCTGGAAAACGATTAAAAACTTGAGACTCTGGATTAAGACTACCTAAAGTGAGCACCGACGATCTCGTGACAGACCAAGTCCAGGACCATGAAGTCTCAAGGCCAATACATCAGACTTGTTGATTGGAGTGCAATATTCCACTGCCTACTATTTCTGTCGATTCCTTATATGACATTGTCATTTTTGAGTAACTGTCTTCACTCCTAACTTGTTTGACCCTCAGGTCTCAGACTCTCCTTAGGACATCGGAAAATCCATCAAAATGATTTGTGATTGGTTGTTTCTTTTGATTGCTGTGTCAGTGACCGTATAGTTTCTCCTGTTGGCTGTTCCTCTGCTTGACCTCTGACCTTTCTTTTGTTTGTCGTGTTTCCTATTGGTTAATAGAATGAGTCTGTGCCTATCAACCAACAGGAAACATGACAAACAACAGAAAGGTCAGAAGTCAAGCAGAGGAGCAGCCAACAGGAGAAACTATACAGTCACTGACACAGCAATCAAAAGAAACAACCAATCACAAATCATTTCGTCAGGACAAGCTACTGAATTACTCATGCAGAGATACTGATAGCTCACTTCATACTGGAGTTAGTGCTGATGATGTCTAGAAAGACGATGGAAGTTCCACGATTAAATAACCCAGCTAAGAGAACGCAATGTAACTAAGAACATGGCATTTTCTTCAACTTCCTTATTTTCATTAGGTTGTATCATCACTAATTGTTGTTCAAGTTAGTGTCTAGCGTAATTTTTAGTTACGGTTATGATTGAATAATATTGTGAAAAAGTTAGCTCTGAGTAAACTGACGCATGAAATCAGTCAGTGTAAGGCCAGGTCTTGTACAGGAGTGTAGATCAGCTAGTTAATGTCTTTCAGAAGCTGGAAATCACTGACTGGATACATGAAATGACAAAAGTCAAAACTAATATGCCTTCTGTCTAGTAATATCTTTTCAGCTCCGGCTGAATATCTCTATCTTAGTTCAGAAGCTAAACCTATTTTCGTTGTATTTTTTACCAAAATTTCCGATAGTAGCAATAAGAAGATATCTTTAGCTTATGAAAAAATGGACTATGATGAAAGCATACCTTATTAACTGCAAATCTGAACGCTAAACGAAACTTTGAAAACCCGCATCACCGAGATAACCTTCAATGATGAGAACAGGACTCAAATAAGGAACATATATTACCAATTCTCAACATTTCATTAGTTCTCGAAAGAATTAAACTCTACTGCCACGAAATTTACTGCGTAAAAAATGGGAATTACCGGTCCTATTCATTCATTTGACTAATCGTATGAACACGTGACACGGGTTCGGATCTCAGGCAGGACATCAGTTCCGTCGTGGTTGCTTCTACTCCTTGTTGACGAGTGCCAACAGGCGCGAAACCTAGGTCCAGGGCTTCCTGCCAATTGCCTCGAACCAGTTGACATATACTAATGTGCACCGCGATGCCAGACCTCCTAGCTTGGTGATCACATTGCGAATATGATCGATAGGATTTGGTCTGCACTCAGGACTAGACAACATAAAATTTATTGCTCTCCAGTGACCAATCAATTCATTTATCTATCCTCGAACTGCTCGAATTTCTGGAGGGTCACAATGTAAATGAAAATCTGGACAGACATTTAAATCTAAGAGATCAGCCCACCTATTGATTCTAAAGGAAACTTATTCACAACAGTGCTATACAACAGACTTATTTAGTACTTCATCTAACAGTGAAAATACCTCTTTGATAATGCTGCATACCTTAACGTGAACAGTGTGTAAAACCCATTGTTATTGTTCTGCAGTCCTTCAAATGCTTATTACTCTGCACTGAAACATCTAATTAAAATGTCGTAAATCTATATTGCTGTGAACGGTAACACTTAAAGAATGGGAAATACTTAGACGTATATATTCACTTGGATTACATGATTATTTGGAAACATACTGATTTCCGGAATCCTCAATATGGATTCTTTTGGTCTCTGAAGCTATAAGTATAAGAATTTATGGTAAAATGGACATTTATCTGGTGTAACGTGGTACTATGAAGACGACTGTGACATGTTGACTGTTTGTAACAGAATTTTGGAATTTTGGGCTGCCTTTGTGTCTTATATGATGAAAAAAATATGACTGAAAACGATCTGAACTTTAACAGTTTGTATATGCTGAAATATGGTATTTTCTTGTTCGTTCCACAACTGACAGAATCTTTGATGTTTTTAATAGGAACTAATCACCTGCTTTTTGTCACTGGGTCGGAAACCAGTGGTCCATATTTCCAAATTCTATCAGTTCAAGAAATAGCCGTGAGGAAAAATGCTCAACAATAATATTGGATGGCGGATGCGCTATGTCATGAACTGACAGAATTTGGAAATATGTACCAGTGGATTGCGAACCAGTGGCTCAATGGTAACGTGCTGGCCACGGGACCTTATGGTTGTGGGTGCGCACTGCTGAGGAGCCCGATACCAGAACTGAGACAGCTTTCCAGTGTTCCTAGGTAGGTTTCCAATGTTCCGCCAACTAATGTCAGTCGACGTTGAATACCAACTTGGAAAATCTCTAAACCCCCTCAAAACCCCCAAAACTCAGTCGTCAATGTTGTTTATTAACACTTGGAATTTTCTGTCACTATACTGAATCGAACTGCTCGATCTCCGTTGGCAGATGGACTCCTCTACGGATGCTTCAAAACTGACTGAATATTTATTTTGCTGCAGTTTAATTGGTGAGAGCTATTACTAGAATTCAGAATGTATATTTCTTCATACTTGTCATTCGTCTGTTGGATGTACTTGCATTTTGGTAAGTGATGGTTTTCACACTGACACTCAAACTCAGTGTTCATCGCTTCAAAAGTTATCCAAAGCA